GGCTCGTAGGACGCTCGGCGCCAAGACTGCTCGCAGCCCAGAGGTGGCCTTGCCGACCGGCGCTGCCCTGGAAAGCAAGCTCCACCTGGCTGTGTTCTGTGGCTGTCATCCCTCAGGGGCGCTTTCCCCCAGGTTCATATTTCAGCTCCGACCCCTATCGTCCTGTACTTCCTGGGGCCTCGGGGACGGGCGATGTCAGGACCCTGGGTTTTCCTTCATAGTCATTCTTTCCTCACGCAGCTTAAAGTGACTCTATTATCACTGCGTCCAAAGGCCCTATTTAAAGTCAGACACAGAAGCCACACTATCACCTTCACCTAGAGTAGGAAGCGGGGCAGCTGGTGATAAGGTCCTGGGACTGATAAGGCCGTGACACTGGCAGGAGACGCCGCCTCCGGGCAGGGTGGGTGGGGCGTGTGGGCAGCTGCCACACGGAGGTCACACTGAGTAAGAACTCTCCAGGTCTGTCAGGCCTGGAGCAGACGCTCAAAGCCTCCGTGGACTTCCTGTGGGGAACAGGGCAGATCAGCAGGCCCTACTCCTGGGGCTTCAGGGCGACGTTCCTGGGACAGCAGCCGGAGGCCCCTCCAGGGTGGGCACCGCCCTGTGGGCTCTGGACTCGTGTCCCGCGTGTTGGAGCCGAGGCCGTGCTGGGGCTGGCAGCGCGCCGTCCTCCCCGCGCGGTAGAAACAGTGACGGTGCAGACTGTGGGCTCTTTGCTCGCCTGCATCATCTCCTCCCTTTAAATTTTTTTCCTAAAGCACATTAAAGCTGGTATAGGAAAAGTTTTGGTTTTGTTTTGTTTTTAACTCAAACAGAATGCCGTGTTTGTATGTGTGTTGGGGGGTGGTTTGCTGTACACAGTAAAGGAGAGGCGTGGCTTCCTCAGCCTCCCCTGCCACAGGGACCCCGTGTCCTGTGTGGCCATGCAGACCAGGATGGTGAGGGTGGACCCTTGCGTCCATCCCCCTTGGCGCCAGCCTTTCCTGACTTTCCTAGTAAGCATCAAGGAAGAACTGTTGCTGCCCGCCCTGCAGGTCGGCGCAGGGAGCGGTCTGCAGGGCCGGGGGCGTGCAGGTGGCAGGGCCGGCCCCCCAGGTCACCCGGCCCCGGCCCGGCCTCCTCGCCGGCTGCCCCGGGGCACTGGCTGAGTCCCGTGGTCTGTCCGTCCACAGGGTCCATGGTCAGGCCGCCTGTGGTACTTCCTCACATGAGAATAACACGTGCAAGGAGCCGTGAGGCCGTGTGAGAGGTGGGCACGTCAGTTCCTTCAGTCCTTAAAATTTGATTTGAGATCCTTAGTTGCGTCTGGAAGCCAAGAATTCAGACACGGGAGGACCGTGGCTTAAAGGCTGGCCCGCGAAGGGGGGAGCACCTTAAACCTATGCAGACGCCCACCGCTCCTTTCAGGCCTGCCCTGTCCTCAGCACGGCCACACGGCCCCGCGTGGAGCCTGAGGCGTGAGCTGGGGCGTCTCCCGCAGCACGAGGCTCTGAGGTCGGCTTTCCCCGAGCGCTGGGCGACGAAGAAAGTCACGTGTGAAACAGCGCTTTACTTAAACAGCGCTTCGCCTTGCTGGTTGGTGCCGGCTCGCCTGTGAGCAGCGCAGGGTCTTTACGTGGTGTCCGGAAGGACGCTGGCCCTGCGCTCCGACATGACGCGAGCACAGGCGGGAACTGTGCCTACACCTGTACGTGTTAGCTCCTGTGCTTTACAGAGTGCTTCCTTTCGCTCAATTCCAGATATAAATGTAGAGGTGGATCTGTGGGGGGGGGCACAGATCCCAGATTGAAACAGCAATTCTAACTGCCACATGAGTTTTAGGGAAAAAACAAGTTTCCACCTTAGGAGCGTTTTAGAGAAAAATTAAATATAAGGGAAAAACCCTTCTTGTTAAGTTAAATTGTGGTGTAACAGCTCCCCACATCCTGTTGTGGGGACGTCTGACGCTCAGCAAAGCGAAGGTTCCTCTTTCAGGTCTCTGACGATCCCGGGGGGTCACATGTTACCTGCAGTTCAAAATACTCCTGCAGAGAAAAACCTCTGTGTCGGTGGAAAAGCTGAATAAGGAGGTGGAAATTATCAGCGGAGAAAAGACACTGTGGGAAACCGTAGGTGGTGTTGGCACAACCATATCAGAGAGGAGCCACCCCCGAAGTAACCGCACGGAGCCCGGGGGCAACGGGGCCTGATACGGACCCGAAACCGTGACCTCACGGAGGGGAGATAGGAAGTCGTGGCCTGGAGGGGAGCGGGGCCTCGGGACCCTGTGCTCTCGTTCTCAGCCGCCCGCAGGGACCACCTGACCCTGGTCAGCCCTCCCCAGATGTCTCCTTTCCTCACCCATCCGAGTGGGAATCGGCATGGCGTCCGTCCCCCAGGGCTCCTGCCAGACTGTGTCTGTGCAGAAGAGGGCAGCCCTGGGCGCCCACCCTCGGCTGTGTGGGTGGGGGGGTGGGGCCTCTCCCGCCTGCACTCTCTGTCCACTCTGCCTGCCCTGCTCAGTCCCCTGGGGCACTCGGGGGAGATCCAGGACATTTGTGCATGTGTGGTGATTCTTGAGTGTGTTCCTAAGATGCATGAAACAGAGGCCCCAACCTGACGTGGGGTAGGGGGAGATTTCCTGGCTCGGACCACGTGGGACTGGAGGGCCCAGCACCTCCAGCCCCAGGTTATCAGGGAGGCAGGGCCCGTCCTCGGCAGAGACCACCAGCCCTCAGTGATGGGCCAGGGGGTCTCGCTCCCCAGGGGATCCTGACGGCCCCCGACGGGACAGATGCCGGGCCGGGCACCACCCACGGAGGAGCCGTGTCACGGCCTCCTGTCTGCGCCTGGACGGCTCCCACCAGGCTGAGCGATTGCCCCACGCGCACCAGCGCGGGCGCCCCCTCCAGGGCCCAGGTGCCCCCGTGGGCCGCGAGGGGAAGCCCACAGCCACTGCTGCTTCTGCTTTTCTCTCATCAAACAGAAGTTCTTCTTCCTGTGGTCTGTTCGACCCTGAGTAACAAGCGGCTCACAGCTCCCTTGCTTACTGCCTTATGACCCTCAGGCCCCCCTCCCAGTCCCCTGTGTTATGACCCTCGGGCGCCCCTCAGACATTCTGCAACTGCCCATTGCTGACTCTCCAGAATCAGACTTTGGGTCTGGGACTTATGTTGTTCTGAAAATGGGCTGAGGCCAGCCCAGACGCGCGGTGTGGGGCACGGTATGACTGAAAGAGGGACCTCTCCTTCAGGTGGGACCCCATCCAGGAAATCTCCCCCTACCCCGGATCGAGGCAGCCTCCCGGCCCCATCTCCACCCTCCCAGCAGCACCCAGCGCCCTGTGGGAGGGACACTGACCGCGTGCGGCCCCAGACCTTTTATTTAACCTGAAAACTGGTTAGGAGGACCCGCTGGGCCCGCCTAGGGTTGTTTTAGGATGGAATGCGAGGGTGGCCGTGAGAGCGATCTGTGAAGCGTCTGGTGCTGCATGAATAAACTGTGATGCCCTCCGGGGTGCCGGCGTCATCGCCTTGTCTTGGGGGCGCTCGGCACATACGCTCCGTGCCTTTCTGGTTTGTTCCCCTCACTCTGCCTGGTTCAGAGACGTCCTGCCTGCAGGTGCGCCTTTTCCCCACACAGCCAAAACCCCGAAGAGGCTCGGGCCTTGTGCCTGTCCTTCATCAGGATGTGCTTTCATGGCCGCATCCTGCACAGCGAACCTGGGACCCGCGTCTCTTCAAAAACAAGTGAGATGGAGGAAGCGGAGGGAGCCGCGGTCTCTGGTTCCCCTCTGCACTCGGTGTGAACAGGACGAGGGAGAGCGTGGCTGACGCCTTGACGAGCGTGCAGAGAACCGGCCGTGGCCTCGGGACACGCGGCCTCCTCCGCAGCCAGGACACACCGGCCGCAAAGCTGGCCCTCTGGGCCTTCCCGCGTGAAGCCAAGGCCCCTGGGAGGACGTGCGGGGTCTGTCGGCCCACTGTGTCCTCATGCCCACCTCAGGGCTCCTGGGTTTGCGCTGAGAGGGCTGGTCACGCTGGCACCCCTCCCCGCGGCGGGTGGCCAGTGGCACTGTCCCCTGGGACCGTGCCAGCAGCCCCACGGGAAGGGTGGGGGTCTGGGCTCCGCGTGCGGGGCCTGGCTGTGACCTGAGCCAGCCAGCCAGTTATCAGTTCCCATGACACAAGTCCCCCATTCCTCGCTGCACTTTGTTATTGTTATTCTTGAAAACAGCTGGGGGGTGTTGAAAGGGAATTTGGGGGTGGGACGCACTGCCACTGATTGTCCAGGAAGCCGCCCTGGAGGGCCGGGGCCTCTACAGAAACACCCGGGCTTTATCTGCGCGGAGGGAAGCCCGGCAGTTCCGTGACGTGAGTGCATCCCCACCTCGGGGTTCTGCTGGGAGGGTGAGCGGCGGTGACAGCCTCCCCGGCGACATTTGCCCGATCAGGTGGGGTGGAGGCGGGATGTTGTGCAGTCCACTCCTGACGGCCTCTGCCAGCTTCGCTCATTTCCTCCCCGGCTGCCAAAAATCACATGCCGGTACCGACCCGGACACGGGAACAGAAGTGAAGGAAGAGCCCCAAGCTGGGGGGGAGTCGGCCCTCCTCTCCGTCCTCTGACAGCAGGGCCAGGGAGAGGGTGGTCACGAGCCTGGGCTTCCACTGCGGGGGGCGGGGGCGCCTGCTGCTTTTGCAAACCTGTGGAACCTGGAGAAGACGCTCCTGGCTCCTGGATCAGCACCGCTTTGGCATCGAAGCTCCAGGCCGGTCGGCGCCTGACTGTGTCTCTGGCCAGAGCAGTGTCTCTGCGTCACCAGGTCCGGGGCAGCTGCGTCCTGCCGGCTCAGGACACTTCGGGGGCCCAGGTGGGAAGCTGAAGGACTGCTGGGTCCTCTGGGGGTCACTTCTCCACAGGCTGAACGTGACTGACTGATGGAATTTCTGGTGATTTACGTTAGCATCTACGCAGAGTGTGGTTTCTCTAAGGCTTTCTCTGTCTTTGTTTTCTTGCAGTAAATGAAATAATACGAAACGACCTCTCCAGCACGAACATCCACTCCTAGGTGGCGACGTCGGACTCTGAGAAGCCGCGTGATGTCGCCTTGACAGTGACAACTTCTGCGTAAACAGACTGAGCTCACACCTGGTGCCACTCAGAACTCCCACCTTCTTGAAGGTTTTAGCATTTGTACAAAGAAGGAGCTCGAGGGAGGAAGGAACGACCACTCCACCTTCTGAAGGAAAGTCATCTCAAGGAGGAAGTGAAAGTGGGGGGGGGGGAGTGCAGGAGACAGACCGCGGGCGGCTCCCCGCGACCTGGCGGCCGACCCCAAGCCGTACCCTTCGGGCACCCCTGGAGCTCATACTGGAAGTGCCTTATTCACCCAGACCACAGCATCAGGGCATCATAGGGCTGAGCGCTGAACTTGCTACCAGGAGGGCGTGTGTAGGAGCGAGCCTGTAAAGACGCCTCGTCACCAGGCTTTGTCCCTGTGTACGCTGAGAGGGCTGGGCACTGTGGGAAAACCCAACACTCGTCTCCTACTTTTTTCGGCTTTCCTGGGCTGGACGTGTTCAGTGCGTCTCAGAGCTCTTCCAGTGTGTCATCTCAGTGCTTTCAGGACATCGTCCCCTCCGTGTTACTCAAACCGTAGGGCTGTTCGTTGCAGCATGCTAGGTCTTTGTGTTTAATCTGCCTTTGAACATAGCACCCAGGAGTGGAATAGCACAAGATAGGTTGCTGGGCAGAAAAAGAGACCTGTCCCAGGACAGAGCTGGCACCTGCACGTGCGCACATGCTTAGGTGAATGTTTGTGTGTGAGCAGCAGCAGAGGTGGTGACGCTCAGGCGGCGCCCGGCACGGACATCCGTGTCAGCAGTAGCCAGTGTCCCGCCTGGAAGATGCACCAGGGCTGCACACCTGGCTTCCCAGCCATTTCCGCGGGGCGTCACGCCCGACAGGTCTGCATTTTATCTCCTCGAGCAGGTGACCGAGCACTTTAGAAGCCCGGAGACCTGTGTTCACAACATCGTCTGTTACCAAATGGCAAAATTGGAAAGTAACTGTAAATAACATTACAGAAGGAGTGTAATATATTTGTTCAGCTGTAAGATGATTATTTCACAGAAGCCTTATAACTGCTTCATGTAAGAAAACAGTTACCAAAAACAGCGTTTGAATATGCGGCGACTGTGGTGTGTTTCCAGCTTAGTTGCTCTTAACAGGTAGGTTAGCGTAAGCTTTACTCTGCGTTTTGTCCAATTAACAGCTTATCACACATTATCGCCAGCAGAGACCCGTTGTTTCACGTAACCAAAAAGCATGGTTTAGTTAAAACGGTTCAGCTAACAACTGTGCCTTAGGAACTCACGCCCCCTCGTGGGACGCAGCTGAATCGCACCCGGGGGGCGGCCGGGACGCATCCAGCCCAAGATGGGCGCTCGCCCACAGGAAGAACCACTCTCGCGGCGTTCTTCTGCACGGTGACGTCTCGCTTTGTTTGAAGCCACAGAAAGACACAAACATCTGAAAGCCTTGCCTGTAACGTTTACACAGGACTGTGAATCACTGAAGATCTGTGGCTTCTTGTCTGTAACAGAGTCCTGCCCCTGCCGCCCGCGACCCCGGCCCACCCTGCGTGTGGCCGCGTGAGACCTGCACGGAACACTTCTGGGTAGACTGCCTCGGGAGAGGACGTGTCTGCCTCTGTGCCGGCTGTCTCTGTAGCTAGAGAGTAGACCCAATAAAGCGCTGTGTTCTGCTGGACGGTCGTGGTCTGAGGCTGATTCAGTCCGTGTGTGCGGAGTTCCTCTTTGTTCCCCAGCGTGTTTCCTGCTTTGGGTCCTGCACCTCCGCCGCCTGTAAGAGGCTTTCCGTCGTGAGGCTGTCGCCTTGCCAGGGCAGCCGCTGTCTTCCTCGAACGCTGGAAGACCGGCCCTGGCGGGATGGCGGTCGCCGGGGCCCCGGGCGCTCCCAGCAGCCCCTCAAAACCGTCTGCCCGGCACGTGGAGCTTGTGCCGCTGCCGCAGGTTCCTGCTGGGCAGGCCTCCCACACTCCACGCAGCCCGTCCGCCACCGCGCTCCCAGGAGGCGGGCCTGCGAGGCCTCCCGGCTCCACCCAACCCCCCACCCCCCAGCCCCCCACCTCCTTCCAGCCTGGGTGGGAGAACGTTACCGGGGTGCTCAGAAGCCCAGCGTCACGGCTGGAGCTTCTCCAGTCACTACTGTCTGATCTGTGGGGGCACTGGTTTGCTTTCTGGACTTTAATATGCAAGGACTCCTGTGTCTGGTTAGGTTTACAGATGGAGCTAAAATACTAGAAAAATCTCATCGACGCAAGTAGCAAGCATCCTTCCACCGGTTTCTGTGCTGACGTGTTGGCAGGAAGCCCCACACAGGCCACGGAGCTTCGGGAACCGGGGAGACGGGGGGTCTGGCAGTGGCTGTGGAGAAGACGGGGCTCGCTGGCCGTCAGCATGAGTTTTTGTCCCCTTTATGCTGGTTATGAGAATTAAGGAAAACACCAGCTTATTTCTAGCAAACAGGTAAGTGTTTTGCCCTCAGGTGTGCAGACCCGAACTGAGACCACATCCTCCTGGGGAGCCGAGGGCCGCTGACCGCCCTCGACCCCCACCCAAGGCGTCCTCAGGGGCCTCAGGGGACACACAGCCCAGAGCCGTCTACACTGGCCGAGCTGGGCGGCCATGGGGGGCCCGTCGTGACTCACTCCTACCCCTGCCGGTGCCCGTGGTTCCAGCCCTTCCCCGGTGTGAAGCCGGGCGGTGTGGGAAAAACCTGACTGACAGCAGATTTCACCTCGTGACCAAGGGCAGGCTAAGCACACGCCTGAAGGGTGTGTCCAGATCTGAGTGGTCGGGTCCCCAGCGGGCTGGGTGACTTTCCACAGCACTCGGGGTGTGTGGGCCCCACTCTGGCTTCAGGGAGGGACCCCTGTGACCAGCTGCTCTGCCAACCCCACGACACCCCGGTGCAGGACCCCAGCCAACCACGTCGCGAGGAGGCGTCTCTGTGCCGCCTAGTTACACACTTCCTCAGAAACACGCTCCGGTCGCAGGAAGTCAGCTGCACTGAACTGCCGTGTTTAGGGGGAGAGACTGAAGGAGGGACGACGGGAGGGGGTTGAAGCTGAGAAAACAGATGGGAGGGAGGTCTTGGCTCCGTTTGTTTTAAGTTAAGGTAAAATTCACGTGCGAGGGAATGAACCACGTTCAAGTGCACAGTCCCCAGGCACTCAGCGCATTCACGGGGTCGCCTTCACAGCCACCACCTCTGCCTCGTCACACGCTGCTTTCATCGCCCAGAAGGAAGCCCTGTGCCCACGAGCAGCCCTCCGTCCCCTCCCCCGCCCCCGGACCACCAGTGAGTCCGTGTCCCTGGATCTGTGTGCTCTGGACCCACGTAAATGAATTGTGCACTGTGGCCCCTCACTGGGCACAGTGATTTCAAGAGGCATCTACGTCATAGACCATCCCTCTTCCCTGTGGCCAAACACCGTCCGCCGTGTGGTCGGACCGCACTCCGTTTGTCTGCTCGGCAGTCTGGGCGCCTGCTGGCTTCTGTGTAGGAAGCTGCTCCGAATATTTGTGCATAAGTTTGGTTCCCGTCCCTGTTTCCAGGTCTTGGGGATACGTGCCTACGGGTGGAATTCCTGCGTAATACCGTAACTGTGCGCTTTGCCCGGTTTTTAGATTATCCATCCCTAAGACAGCCCTGCATCACTAATCTAATCTGGACTCGCATACGTGAGCGCGTCATATCTGTACTTGTTTACGCCAGAGATATTAAGTTAGCCGAGGATGACGAAGTGGTCATTCACACCACAGCGGGAAGCAGCCTCGCCCTCGCCCGCCCCCAGCCCCTGGGGTAGAATCGAGCTGCCCTGGGCTCCTGCCAGGACCCCGGGGCCTCGGCCTGTGAGTCTGAGTCACTCGAGTGGTGCCAGCCGAGCCCCAGACCACACGTGTGTGTTTTGCGCCGCACACACAGTTACGACAGCAGTGGAGGGAGCCTTGCGAGACCTCCGGTGCCGTCAGAAGCGAGGTTCCTGAGGTGCAGAGCTGCCGCGGGCGTCTCCCACCGCCTCCCTGCTGGCTGGGGACTCCGCCTCGCGGCCCGTGTGCAAACACAGCTGCAGACCACTGGCACCAGCTTCCAGCAGCTGCCGAGCTTCCAGCGCTCTGGGACCAAGGTGGGGCCCAGGCGGGGCTGAGCTGGGTGACCAGGGCGCTTCCGTCTGCGGCGGCCACTCCTCTTTTCTGAAAAGGAGCTCTGAGCCGCAGAGGGTCCGCGCCGCAGCGCCCCTCGCTCTGGCCTGGAGCCCTGTTCCAGCCAGGTGAACGATGACCGTGCTTAGTGTCAAGTGGAGAAGAGGGTTGAATTAAAGCGCTCCTTCATTAGTGGGGTGTTACTGTTAGTAGTCTGGCTTCAAACGGTGGCTTTCTGCAGCTCCTCTTGTGGTGCAGTTTCAACCTGCGAATAGGGGCGTGTGCAGACGGGGTGAACACACGAGTCTTCCTTGTAGGAAACTGCACCTCGCTCCCCGGTGTCTGGGCAGGCCCGAATCCTACTGGGAGCGTCGCCCCAAATCCTCCGCCTCCCTTTACAGCCTCCCACTCTCCCCCATCCTCCCCGATCACTCAACCTCCTCTCCCTTCAGAAACCAAAGAGGCAGAGGTTGCGGAAGATGGTCAGGGCTGAGAGGCTGGCCGGGGAAGTCCATGCCCTTCCTGGTCACCTTGTTTGCATCTGACAGCTGGAAGCGGGGCAGCCCTTCAGCCCCATGCGGTGCAGAGTGAGGGGACGGGCAGCCGCTTCCTTCTGCGGACACCTCGGTCTGGCTGGAGTGTTGGTGACGCTGGTCATAGAGTGAACGGCCTGGAACAGCTTGTTGGAACTGGCACGGCGGGGTTCGTCGGGCCTGCAGTTGCCTCTGCGGGAAGGTTTATAATATAAATTCCGTTTCTTTCTCTTTAAAAAAAATTTTTTTGGAGGTGAGGGTAATTATATGTATTTATTTAATGGAGGTACTAGGAATTGAACCCAGGACCTTGTGCATGCTCGGTGTGTGCTGTACCACTGAGCCACACCCTCCCCACTAAATTCCATCTCCTTAATAGATACAGAGTCGTTTAGGTTTTCACCTGTCTCTCGGGCGAGCCGTGGTGGTCCATGTCTCTCAGGGAATTTGTCCGTTTCGTCTAAGTGGTGGCACGACGCCGCTGGTGGCGCTGTCCTGTGCTGTCCTTTCAGTCTGCGTAGGGTCCGTCGTGAGTCCTCGCTCTCGTCCGGGTCTCCTCTCTCCCTCCCCTTTTCCTGGTCAGTCTGACTGAAAGCTTATCTTTTATTGATCTTTTCGAAGAACTGTCTTTTGATTTCACTGATAAACTCTGCTCTTTACTATATCCTTTCTTCTTACTTTGTTTCATTTGCTCCTCCATCTAGTTTCTTAAGACAGAAGCTGAAATCCTCCATTTGAAACGTCTTCCCCAACGTGGGCGTTTGGCGCTATCAGCTCACCTCCAAGGTCTGCTTTAGCTGCTTCCCGCAGATTTTAATATGTTACATTCTCCTTTTGTTCAGTTCAGAATTCTTGCTAACTTTCATCTAACTTAGTTTTGACCCATTGAGAAGCACATCATTTAGTTTTCAAGTATTTGGAGACGTCCCACATTTCTGGCTTAACGCCACTGTTGCTTGGAGGACGTAGTTTGGATGAGGTAGTTTTTATGTTCACTGAGTCCTGCGTCAGGGTCCAGAGGGGCCGTCGTGGCGAATGTTCCTGAGCACCAGTGAGCAGCGCACTCCGCGCTGGTGGCGAGCGTTCCCTGGCTTCCCCCTGGTCAGGTCGGTCAGCAGTGCTGTTGGGTCTTCTGGATTCTTCCTCATCCACTGCCTCCTTGTCATGTGAATTATTAAGAGAGAAGGTGGAATCTCTGGTGTAACCATGGCTTCATTTGCTTCTGCTGCAGCTCCGCCCATTCCGCTGAGGGCGTCTCAGAGCTCTTTACTTAGGGCTGTGCAGGTTCCTCGGTGTTGCTGCGTGCTCCAGGCTGACTGATGCGTGATTGCGCCTTATCCTCTTCATCCCTGGCGATACCTTTTGCTCTAAAACCTACCTGAGCTGATACTAATCTGCTTAGTGTTAGCATGTACACATTTGTTCACTTCTTTGAATTTTAGCCCTTTTATGACAACGTATAAACCACGTGCTGGCATACGGTCTGGTCTTACTTTCTGCCGTCTTGTTTATTTTCTGCTTAATGCGTTTCCTCCCCATTTGCCCTTCCCTGTCTCCCTTTGGATTGAGTATTTGTTATAATCCCAGATCTGTCTCCCTTGCTGGCTAATTAGCTGCAGTCTTTGCTATTTTACTTTAGTGCTTGTTAGGGTCTGTAGGTAACATCTTTGACATCAGAGCTTACCTTCCAGTGACACAAAACTGCGTTGCAGGTCACATGAGACCCTGACGCCACGTCTTCCCGTCTCTGCTCGCAGCCCTTGTGCTGTTTGCTGTCAAGCTCTGCTCCTGTGCATGCTACGAACCCCACAACACACCGTTATTATTTCCCTTTAAAGAGGAATTCTCTTTTGAGAGAGTTAAATGATAAAGAATTAGAAATATTTCACATTCCCGTGTGGCTGCCCCTCCCCGTGCGGCCATGGCTTTGTAGACCGACATTTCCATCTGGTGTGTCTTCCTGCAGAACTTCCTCTGACGTCTGGCAGTGGTGCTGAGAAAGTTCAGCTTT